ACAAATTATACATTTAAAACGTGTTAATTTAGTGAGTTAAATCAACACGTATTAAGCGTGTTCCAATTTTAAACACTAAGAAACGTATTAAAAGTGACTTCAATAAAAACACACGTCAAGTGTGTTAAATTAACACACTTGGATTTGCAGTGTGCGTGCGCGCGTCAGTTCGAAAATCAAAGCGATAAATCGTTAAATCCGGCGCTCCGGCGTCTGACTTAAACGACGTATAAAATTTTACCGCCTCCGTAAAATCTTCGTTATCGCGCTGTCGCTCGTGGATTTAGATAAAGGTCGGCGAGTACGGCAGGTTACGGAAAATATCTCGTTTCTTGCGCGATGCGCCTGCAACTCTGTATCGGGGTGTAAGACGCCCGGAGGTTTCTCGAGAGAAATATCTCCCCGAGTTCTTGTTCCGCAGAAATGGTTACCGAGATAAGGCGGCACGTCCCCGTGTAGCGTGCGGCCACGGGGGAATAAGTGTACTCAGGTAAATGGCTGGTTATGTTTGCAATTTATTATCTCACGGCGAGATAGATGCGCCTAACGCATCTGGGCACAATATCGCGTTAAGTCGCAAGCGAAGTCGTCGCTGTACCTGTCACAATGGCCGGCTGCGAGGCAGTGTTTGCGTTACGTATCGCCCATTGAATCTTTCTCTTGCCGGCGCGCATACACGATTCTCTTATGATTTATATCGCGAACGTTTAACGGAGATAAAGGAGAGAGACACGCGTGGGGTATCGCACGGCGCGGGATTCGACGCGGCTGACCTTTTTAGCGCGTGCGTTTTATTTATACTAGTGCTCTCGCCCAAAAAAAAAAAAATGGTGAAACTGAATAATAATAATAGAAAAAACTGGTCGCTAAATTACGACCGAGAACCTTACCCGTTGCGCTGACCTTTAAGTCCTAATTCGATGGTAATGTGAAGCTATCTTTTTTTTTCTTTTTATTTTGATCTTTATCTCTAAACGAGACTTTTATCCTCGCGAGAGAGACGCGAAGTTCACGTCTCTGCGAAAATCAAAAATCACATCATTACCATAGCTGGAAGAAGAGCAACAAAAATATCGAAATGCGTACTTCAACCAATTGTCTGTGTTTGTGTGACGTCTGTTTCTTTTTGTTTACATGTTTATTTTAAATTTATAACATCCTGCGTATTATCACGTTTCTTTTTCGACGCAAATTATGCAAATTCCTTGATCGGCTATTAAAGACATCTAGGACGCCCGGACAACCAGATCGAAGACAAATCGCGTTGATATCCCTGACATGGTGAATCGCCGACGGTGCCTACGCGACGTGTGACTTGCTTTGCAACGCGTTTTCGGATTTCGCACGCTTCCCGCGATGCCTACGCATCGGCCTTTTATTTCTCACGGTCTGGTCACTCGAGTCCGGGGATCAACAAAATCCGCGAGAGAAAAGAGAAATAAGAAATGACAAAAAAAAAAAAAAAAGGAACCTCACGCACCATTGACAGCGTTTTGCCCACGCGATCGCCCGCGCGCACCCGCGTATGTCTCTGTGCAGGTGCGCGTGCACAGGATGCATCGCCGTCGTTGCACTTCGTATATACTCTCTTGCGCGCATATTCCATAATACGACGCTGGCACGGATATACACGCGACGCCCACGCCGGGGCCGCCGTGCGCGCATTTATGCGACGAACGAACGGGCGATTTTTCAGCGTGCTCGAGCCATGAATGGGCGGCTCGTCGTGTTGGTTTTACGGACACGAGAAGCGCACTTCTCTCTCTCTCTCTCTCTCTCTCTCTCTCTCTCTCTCTCTCTCTCTCTCTCTCTCTCTGTCTCTCTCTCTCTCTCTCTCGATTTTAGCGCCGCGTCGCAGGTCGCCGGTGATTCCCGCCGGAAGATAAAAAGGGATTCCTCGCCCTGGGATGGTCCCACGTGAAATGTTTCGGGATTTGCGATATTTTTCCCAGGCGTTTTATTTCGCGCGTATACACGCGAAACGTTCGAAAAAGTTTCGAATTTCGTTTTGTTTATTTGCTTTCATCACCAGCCAATAATTTTGTTCCCTCAGAACGCGCTCGCTGTCGGGCTATTTGTCGGCTGACTCCTACACCTCGCGCAAATACGCGTGTTGATTTGAACGGAAAAATCTCCGCCGGCTGGAATTTGTAACGAGCGCGCCTGACATTTAAATTGGCGTGTTCCGGACAATTATATACACGGATTTCAATCGGTCCGTCTAAACGATTTTGCGATTCCACATTCAATCCCGAGGAAACCAATTTCAAATATATGGTAGTTCATACTGGGTTAAATCGGGATTTCGAGAGAGGGAGGGATATGTTTTCAATCAAAAAATTGATTGCATGCACCGATCCGATGTGTGTAAGCAAAGACCAAAGCAGCAAAAGACATGTACATTCATTCATGTGAATGATCTTTGTAGGAGTCAGGCGAACACACCTCGGGTTACTTTTGAGAGGCGCTCTCAGCTTGATTACAGGCGGCCATGCGACTCGCAGCGAAACGCTATTCCGCTTTATTGCGGGACCGCGTGCGTCACGCGGTTTCCCTCGAATCGACAAATTTATCCCTTGTCAATTCCGGGACTTCCAATTTCGTCGAAAAACGATCGGGGAGAAAGAAGGATAATAATTTCTTCGTTTTGCACTAGTGTCTGCGACCGTTAATTTTTCCAAATCGGAAGATCGAGAGAAAGGAGAAAAAGAAAGGCGCGACGCGCGAGGCGCAAACCGCACTAATGTCTCCGTCATTACGTTACCTCCGACGAGTTAATAATTCCGCAATCAACCCGAGAAAAGAGGGACGCCGAGGTGGTTATCGCGAGTCGGACAAATTATCCGTGTCAGTTACCCGTCTCGGAGGCCATGGCGTTTCGGTAAACAAGTCCCCCGCGCGAGAGCGCGCGCGGCGTATAATTTTCCCTGATCATAATAACTATCCCTTAACGAGAGGGTAATTTCGAAACGGCACGTCCGGCACGTTTCTCTTTCTCTTGGCGTTCCGACGTAATTCGACGTCTCGCGCATTGTTTTCCTCGCCCACGGTACGAATAAATATTTACGAGCGACCGGTACTCTCGCATTAGCGGGCGACGCTACCGACGACGACCGATCTACATTGAAAAGAACACCCTGCGAATTTTCAATGCAACCGCAAGCCTTTCAGCGCGAGTTCGAGACCACATCTCTCTTCTTTGCCTTTTCCATTGTCTTCCGAAGCCAGCGAGAGCGGTTTTGTATTTTCGTCGCGTCGTCGTCCGTGAAATCAGTCTTTTTGTATTTCACTGCCCGTCGCTCGTGAAACTCGTCTTCGTGCGTCGCCGCGTTCGAGAACCTTTGTCTTCGTGAGTACGCGCTCGATGTTTAACGAAGTAGTATAGAGAGGGTTTTCTTCGTCAGAGAAAACATATGTTCGAAACGAGAGAAAGAAGAAAGACGCATCTATCACTCCGACTTGACGCGCTTCTGAATAAAGCGGTTGACAAACGATTCGACGTAAGTCCGATCGCATGAATGGCGCTTAAGAGATCTCAGAAGGATATGGATTTCTAGCTGCGAGAGGTCTCAAGTGTCGACGTTTCTTTTACAACACAAAGAAATTTGTCTCTTTGCGTCAGTCGTCGTTTTTTTTTTTTTTTTTTATCACGCATCGTGGTATAGAAAATAACAAACAAATGTTTATTTTCACGCTCGAACTATATATTAAATCTAAATTTGAACTCGTTCATGTTATATTTCAGTTCCCAGACGTAGCAGTTTCACAAACTGTACGAAGATGATTCTCTGCGAGAGAGCATCTACCGTTTTGCGGAATCAGCATCTCTCGCGCGGTACGGCATGTCAAAAGCAAGCGCTAAAAGTTATGTCGATTGGCTGTGCGCCAGACTAGCGGCTTCGCGTCCGCCGATATTCGCCGATAAGATCAGCGGAATCGTATAGCGACTGTCGAAACCGGGCAGAGTATTCGTGTCTCGCTTCGGGCATCACCGAATGACAATCAATTACTGGGCCGGGAGTGACAGTCCGAGTCACTGCCGCGCAAGATACATCCGAGATTTATTTATCGACATTAAATTAAAAATCGATGTAAAGCGACTTTAACAGTGTCATTAAAAGTGTTTTGGCGTATAATTAAGTTGCGTATTAGCATTTTACGACGTATCTCTCTCTCTCTCTCTCTCTCTCTCTCTCTCTCTCTCTCGGACGATTGCTCGAAGAAACTGCGCGTCCAATTCTTTCCGAGCGCAATTACTCTCCTCTTTTCGCTTTCCGTCACTTGCGTCTCGCAAAATCCCACGTTCGCGCTTCTATTCGTGTTCTTAATAAGAGCGCGTCCTGCTAAAAGTAAGGCTCGAGAACTCGCCACGGCCAGTTTTCATGCGAGTCGAAGAAACTCGAGAAAGTGGAGACGCGAGGTCGCGCGCGAATCTCAAGTCTACAGTGAGGCTGTTGTGTTTCGTTTCGGATTGCAATTTTTCATCGAAGTAAACTAATAAATTAACAGAACGATATTGCGTTTGAATACGCTTTCGATCGTGCAAGCTCTCGACGTAATTTTTTTCTACTCTACTGCTGGAAATACCGCGCCGAGATAAAACACTCTGCGATATATCGTGGGAAAATCGAATGAGCGACACACGTGACAAAAGCGAAAAGAGAGTGAATAAAAATAGAAGTGAGAAGTATATTTACACAAAACTTACCTCTAACGTTAGGTACACGCTGCCGGGCCTCGAGGTTCGGCTGCAACACGGCGATTAGAATCTGGAGCATCAGCAGGTACCGCATGATTGGTGGTACTGAATCGAACGTTTTTCTTCTTGTTAACGGAACGCGATCTCCTTGATGTCCGCCGACGTTTCCTCTTTATTCTGGAACACACACGTCGTAACCGCGGCATGAGTTTCTCGTTTAAATCCTCTCGTCACGTAGCAAATGGGTCACTCAGCGATTTAAGTTGCGAATTAAAACGTTGTTGAGCTCTTCAAGGAATGTCCGACCGCGGTTACAAAGCGCACGGAGATAATTTGCAAGAAAGCACTTAATTAAGTTCTCCCTTTGATCGTGGTCCGGAAGAAAAATTCTAAAGGTCGAAGGTAAAGTGAAGCAAAAAGAGCGTTTTGTTTCTCTCTCTCGCTGTAGTGCGCGCCGGTGCAGACAGATTAAACTCGCGACAGAGCACGGCAAGTAGATACAACGAAGAATAACAACGCCGTACATTTTACAATAACAACGGCTTTATTTTATATAATCTAAGAAGTTAGTTAGTTCCGGAGTATCGGAAATCGAATCCCACGGGTGAAAGACGAAAGTCGTCTGATATACCCTCGCGATCGATTCGCCTATACCTAACTCTTGCCGCTTGAGTGCGGAATATGCTGCGATAATAAAGAGGTAAGACATTTTAATCCCTTCGTGAAAAAGTTTCTGCAAGAAATGAGAACGGGCAATCTCAACTTTATCTCACAGTTTTTTTTTTTTTTTTTTTTTTTTTTTT